AATGATGGCACCAATTAATCCCCGATAAATATGACGACATGTGATTAAAATAATTTAAACTAATTTAAAAGTTTGAAAAGACTGATTTCGTGATGGAGTCTAGTTTATCAAACTCTACGTCAGGTAAATTAACATGTTAAAATAATTAATAAGAACTATCTGGGTTGAATCAATTCAAACAGTTGTTAATGAACTGAAGGCCGTATATGCTTCATGAAATATTACCAATATTGATTTAGTTTAATTAATTTCTGATTGTTTACAATATTTGTATTTGAATAAACAAAACTATCATCAGCTAGATTAATCATTAGTTTTCATTTCCAATGATTGGATTTTAGAAGATTAAACAGTAATCTTTAAATCCGCAAAATGAAAAAATAAGCGGGAAATAATTAATCCGCGGATTTCCTGCGTGATCCTATCTCATCTTACCNTCTAATTTAATTAATTAAAATTTTTGGATGTTTCTGTGTACCCCTTTACAGTAAGTTTAAATTTAATATCAGTTCATTTAAAGAGAACATCAACGATTTACAGAGGCTTCCTTTAAACCATCATCAATCTACGCTTAATGATAAAATTAGAAAATTGATATTCTCCAACACCGGGTTTTCTAAAAAAATTGTAGATCTATACACCATAAAAACTATGAAGATAATATCTGAGATTTGAATTTGATTTCATTTCATTTTGAAACAGTAAGATATCTCTATTATCAATTATCAGTTGAAGGTTTAAAGCGTTCTGTAGTAAATCCCTAACAGTGCACTTTATGTAAAGGGGGTGGCGTACTTTACATTAAACGACACTCCCTTTAACATGTAGTAAAAAGTTCTTTAAAAAATACATGTGAACCTTAATATTCATGCTTGCAAAGATATTTTTGCCATAAACCGTCTAATATCCCTTTTAATTGCTCCTCACCCTCTCTCAACAGAGTTTAAATTATGCTCTTAAACTTTTTTGTATTAAAATTCAGAAGGTTTCTAAAGCACTTGTATATGTTAAATATTTAAATATGACAAAGGGTGAGACATGAAACGAAAGGGAGAGGATGGAAGAAGAGAGAAAAAAATATTAAAGGCCATGACATACAGTTTTTCCAAAAGCTTGAAAATCAACCTGTTAACCGCATTGGTTTTGTGTACACTGCACAATTGCTATGTTTTATGTTCATTGAACTATTGAAATTAAAATTTGAGACTAAAAGTCGTCTTTCTATTCCACAGTTATAGTAATTTTTACCTGTATTGTTCGTAGATTTGACCGAAGAAAGAAGAGTTAGGAAAATAATTAAATTTAGTGACATTTTGTTTGACAGAGGATCATGTCACAGTTTTAGCAACTTTTTAGCTCAGTTCAGATTGATTTTCAGGTTTATCCGACCAAACCATCTTAAGAACATACCTGAAATAGAAATACCATGAATTTTAAATCTAAAATGGGTTTGTTTACATAATATTTAATTCATTTTGAATTATTCAGTTCTGTTGGCAGTGCTCTTTTATGATAAATGAATCAATGTATTAAGTAGAATTAATCCATGATTTAAAGGGACTGTAAGCGTAATATCAAGTGACCCACCATGCAAAGATGACAATGCCTAAATTACAACGATGTCCTTAAAAAGCTTTGTCAGATCAAGAATGAATTAGATATCCATGTTTTTGTTTCTTTATACTATTTATACTTGAAATAGCGCTTACAATTTTGAAAGCAATCCCTTTAAGTCTGTTTATATTTTAAAATAGAATAAAATTGTGCAAATATTCAATATCCTTAACAATTTCCTTGCCCGGTGTTGAGAATGTTGTGTGCAAAGTTAATATAAAGTGTTCAATCTATCCGACATACCGACCGTAAGCAACCCATATGTTTTATGAAGCAAAAAATGTTCCGAAATTACGTTTTCAGTGTTGTGATTTCTAAAATTTAGAAAAAATTTTGAAGAAAAAACAGGATTCTACGTTTAGAAAATTGGCAAATTTTATTGGCAAATGCGTAACTAAACATAATTGATCTCCCTTGAAGCATTTTTTCCATCAATTAAGTTTTGAAAAGCTTCAGCCTAGCGTGATCCTATTCTCTGAAATCCTTGCTACTTACAACAAACCCTTTCTCCCTAAACCTAAACCTACTTATACAAACAACAAAGAGTTTTCAATCAAACCTTTCATTCTCTTAATACCCCATATTTCTCATTTTATTTATTTAGTTAAAGCTAGACTGTGAACTAGACAGAAGGAAAAGGTGAAATATATGCAACATAACCGGTCCAACTTTGGGACCTCTTTAGTTTTAATTTTACGCATAAATTTGACAAGTTTTATATCAATTTCTCGAGACAGGAACATCAGATATGACTTACATGGGTTGCGATCAAAAGCTAAAGTGATTATCTTTCAGCCTATACCCCCTTTCATTTTTCCTTTTCAGTCCCTTTCAGTTTCTATTTCTCGATCTGTTATTTTATCCTGATATCTTCCCCTCATCCTCTTCCATCAAATCCCTCGTTAACCCTCTCTCATTTTCCGGTTTCCTCTGTATCATTATTTACTCATTTCCTGCGCCTCATGTTTTCACTTTTCATATTTCTTGTCTTTCTCTACTCATCCTTCTCTTTGTAATTAAACCCAAGGAAAATATTAATTTAATTACAGTCCTGGACTAGATTTCCCCTCTTTTTACAAACAACTATTTTTCTTGTTGTTTNTTTATAGTTAGTTTTTAAATATTTAAGGTTTTTTTTACTTTTTAGAGGTTTCCTAAGTATCGAAATATTTAACACGTTTCAAATTGTATCATCTTTAAGTATACGTTGTGCAGAATTATTACTTATGGTAAAAGATTTAAAAACGAATTATCAACTTTTCAAAAAATATTTCATTTTTTGTTATTGTAAATCAGAGTGAAAATTTTACAAAATGTATTGAAAGCAAACTTTTAGAGAATACAATTATAAAAGATAATTTTATGTTTGCGTGGAGCCTAAAAATCCTTGAATGTTGATTAACGAACTATAAAACGATGCACATCTCTTCTCTTAACTCTTTCCCGTGGACGGTTCTCTCTCTCTGCTAGCTCCAGGTATGAAAGTGAACTGTAATGATAGCTCTCGGCTACCAATTATTTCCTCCACTCTGCGTCCCTATTGAAAACATCATTTTCTAACATAATGTCATGAGTAGGAGAAATATAGTCAGATGGACAAGGTTAGGGGACTATAGGGACAGGTTAGGGGACTATAGGATAGGTTAGGGGACTATAGGAACAGGTTAGGGGACTATAAGGGCAGGTTAGGGGACTAGGAACAGGTTAGGGGACTATAGGAACAGGTTAGGGGACTATAGGGACAGGTTAGGGGACTATAGGAACAGGTTATGGGACTTTAGGGACATGTTAGGGGACTATAGGGACAGGTGAAGAGAATATAGGGACAGGTTAGGGGACTATAGGAACAGGTTAGGGGACTATAGGAACAGGTTATGGGACTTTAGGGACATGTTAGGGGACTATAGGGACAGGTGAAGAGAATATAGGGACAGGTTAGGGGACTATAGGAACAGGTTATGGGACTTCAGGGACAGGTTAGGGGACTATAGGGACAGATGAAGAGAATATAGGGACAGGTTAGGGGACTATAGGAACAGGTTAGGGGACTTCAGGGACAGGTTAGGGGACTATAGGGACAGATAAAGAGAATATAGGGACAGGTTAGGGGACTATAGGAACAGGATAGGGAATTTATAGGGACAGGTTAGGGGACTATAGGGACAGGTTAAGAGAATATAGGGACAGGTTAGGGGACCTTTTATTTTGATGACAAGAAGTCCGACATGGTTCAAAAACGACGTGTCAAACATTTTGAGAAATAAAACTTTTTCAAATAAAATGAATTTAAATAGGAATTTTGTAAAATCCATTGTTCCAAAGATTTCTAGCCTTGAATACTACTTGTTCGATAAATCTATGTTATCAGATAAATGTTTTGAAAATCATGATTGGTGTTAATTATTTTTAGAACTAATGATTCAAGACACTTAGTAGTGCTTTAACAATGCAACAGGGGTGGGGGGACAGGGGGAAGGGGGACAGGAGGAGGGGTGGGATATCTGATTTATATTTTAGTTTCTCTCTCTGATTATAAGAAGAGTGAGTGGTCCATGAAACTCTAAAAGTTTCTTCTACCTTCTCTAATTAGACAACTTTACACCAGAAAACATACAGAGGAAAAATGACAATAACAAGGGAAGGAAAAGTTGAGATAGAAAACGTATCCCCATGCAAAATTTCAAAACTCAAATTTCAATTCTTGCAAATTGGAAACGTATCCTCGTGCATAAATGCAAACGCATCATTATGTAAAATTGGGAAACGTATCCTCATGTACTAATGTAAAATTGGGAAACGTATCCTCATGTACTAATGTAAAATTGGGAAATGTATCCTAATCCTCATGTATTGATTTAAAATTGGGAAACGTATTCTCACGCGTAAATAAAAAATTGGGAAACGTAATTTCGTGTAAATGCCAAATTTGAAACAAACGCAGAAACGCCATATCAAAAACATTTCTCGTTAAATTTGCAAATCTGGGAAACGTACCCTAGTGTGTAAATGAAAATTGAAAAACGTACCCTCATGCATAAATGCAAAATCTAAACTTCTAAACTAAAATCTACACGTATTTGTTTTATAAGAAAGTATTGTTGAAAAGAAACCATTTTCTTATCAGAAAACTGACATCTAGACAGTCAAACTTTAGAATCTGACAGGGGCTGAAAGAATTGTGCAAATAGCAGGAAATAGATAAAATGGACAGAGATAGACAGATAGACAGATAGACGGATAGACAAGCGTAGAGAAATCAAATTCGGCATAATCAGATGAAAATGTATAAATTAGCATAATTTAAATAAATACTTCTTGTCTTGGTGATACTATTTTATCATCACTAAGGGACCATTAAACAATATTTAATTGAATTTATATTAAATTCACAACAGAATTTAATTTAATAATGAAGGAATAACTGAAAGGGTTACTTTGAATTTACTTGTCATTCTCTTCAGAATTTACAAACAAAAAATATGCGAATGCAGTATTAAATGATATGTAAATTTTAAAAAAATGACAATGACAAATCAAATTTCTTTCAAAAGTTAAGATTACAGCTGACCTCTCTGGATGTCAACCTATAGCAAATGTAATAAATATTGTTTAATGAAAAAAACAACTAATAAAGATGGAAATTTTTCCGATTTAGAATAAAATAATTTGGAAAATTTTAAAAATTATCCAGTTTAGCCTTCTTAGGCAAGGAAAACTATAATTTTCAAGTTTTAGTGTACGTAGGCAAACCAAGCATTTTTTAATATACAGTTAGAAAATACTTACATTTAAATAATTCACTGAAAAAAAACCAAATATAACCCTGTAACAGATATTTTTTCACGAGATCAAGAAAGTTTCAATTTCACAATTTTTTCTTCACGTTGTCTCTCTTCACGTCCTCTCAGCTCTGAATAAGAGTTGTAACTATCACCGGTTTCCATCACACCACCTGGTTGAACATCAGTCGTGCCGGTACAGTTTTACTCTCAGCTGTCCCGTGCCGGTACAATCCGGAACCAAGCAGAGCCGTGCCGGTACAACTATATTTCTACGGAAGCCAAAGTTATGAGCAATGAACATCAAGTATTTATACCAACATATGGCAATTGAAAATAGAAGATTTCTTTAGATGAATATCTTACAATAAAAGTTTTTTTTACCTTACTTTTTTACAATGTTTTTCTACGCATATTGATCGAATGTAAACCATTTTAAAATAAAGTGGTGACTAGGCCGGGTTCTGTAAAAAGTCTGGCCGCAGTATTAAAGTTGAAACCTGGCCAACATACGATTAGGTCGGTACAGTACAAGCCACACGTCACTATAGGCCAGTACAAGGAGAAGGACCTGTTCGAATTAAAATTGACCCAAGTCCAATGTGAGCAGCTTTTAGAATGATTATCATCTTCTCCCTTTCTTGCAGTTTAACGTCATGTCTGACAGTAATTTATTACTTTAAAACTGATACTAAAAGTTTTAGAAATTTATCAGTTATAACAATTACAAAGACAAAAAAGAATATAATGTGTACAATTTTAGCAACAAAAATCACGTGGATTTTTGTCTGCATGATAATGATAATACTTAAGAATATGATCTTTAACACGCACTATGCAGTACATTACTCACGTACAATGTACATACACTAGATCATGATTTATTATAATCTGAAGAATATTAATTAATGTTTAAATTAATTACTGCCCATGTATAATTAAATATATCTTGGGTTCAGCATAATTATAGTCCCTGGGCTAGATTAGGTTTCAGACTCATTATTTCTCATCATTATCTATAGAATAGATCATCTCATACAAAATATATTTTATAAAAAATTCTTACGTTTCTTTTTTAACAAATGTTGATTGATTTTTGTCATAAAATATTAAACGTATCTCTAGCTCTTTACCCTCTTAACAAGCTATGTACAATGTACATTGTGCAATAGGTTATCACCATAGATAAAGATAGATTGCGCATAAGACGACATTTTTCATCTTGAAAGATATAAATGTACAGAGATGTTTTAAAGATATTCCTATTATATAGATTAACTAGGTCGGTTGTGAACATTGGCTGTTCTTTTGTCATTGAGTACTTGTGGTGTACATGAGTTCTGTAGAGAGAAATTTAGTATAGTCCTTCTCATGTCCTTCTTCAGTCATATTGCTGTTCAAATAGTTCCATTCCCGGAGTTATTTTACACTCTCTTCTATGAAATCCATTAAAACACCAAACCACCCCGCTTATCATTAAAGTACACTTTGACCCCTAGAAGTATGAGTTCGCGGACTGTACAATTCTTGGTGATTTTGCGTACATAAGCTATCTATGTTTATTTATTTATCTATGGTTATCATACTCTACTAAACAGAAGAAGGTCAAATTTATGCGATATTACTGGTACGGACTTTTTGACCTCGTAGCACAAGTATGAAAAAGCAAATTTATTTTGCACAAATTCAATATTATTCTTCAAAGTGCTCAATCACAAATTAAAAAAACTTGTCACCTTTCAGACGTAAACACACTGAGATTTAAAGGTCTCAAGCTAACAAGCAAATATCTATAAGAATTTTGCCAATTACTTTTCAAAAGCACAAGTGAGATAGAACGGTAAAATCAAAGCCCAAGGTGTGTGACACTTCAAAGTCGACCCTGTCAAAAAATATGATGATACTTTTTATAAGCAGACTGATTCTATGTGAACAGCGTCATAGAATTATAAAAATTGGCACACAGCTTTAGAATTAATTATTATTCCAATTGATTTTTACTTTGATTTAAATTTTAAAACAGAAAAACTTTGACTGAAGGTTCTAAAAGGGTGCAAATCCTTAGATTGCAATTTTTGATAGAACATTCTATGTTATAAGATTAATTAATACGTTTATTTGAAAGAAAAAAAAATACGAGAATGCAAGCTAGAAGCTCCCTACAATAAAAACAATAAAAAACAAATATGAAAAACTCAATTTACATTTAGAAACATTAATTGTTTAAAAATAATTTTTTCTCTGGATTTTCATTTTCAATTATTTGTTTTTTAAATCTTTGAACTTACGTAAAATCAAAACTAGAAGAGCTGCGAGGTCGCAAAGTTGTAGCAGTAATGTCGCATAAATTTGACCTTCTCCTTCTGTCTAGTTTGCTGTGATGCAAGTTTGTAAAAGTATGAATCCAAGATTAAATCTAAACTGGTCGAGGAGGAGGGTGAGGGGAGGGTTCATGTTAAACCGTTTGTCTAAAGATTACCAAATATGTAACTCAAATTTATTATGTCCAATATATTCGTGTCATTTTTTCCTTGTTTGGATTCTAGATCGGCTTTATCTGAACCTTATCATAGAGAAAACCTGACAAATTATTCTGAAATTTATATTTTCGGTGATTTCCTATACGCAAAACAGTTGTCGACTACCCCCTCCTTTTCTCTTATTTCTTTTTTGCCATTGGCATTTTGTTGTTTTCGAGTTGCAAAGATTATGAGAAAGTCTCTTCAAAAATTAAGACTTTAATTACGATCAAAACTCTATATTAATCAGTCTTCACTCTTTAAAGTATTTAAAATGTTTAACAAAAAATTTAGAAAAAAAAGAAAATAAGAAAAATCTACAGACGTCTTTTTAACCCTAAAAGTAATCTTATAATTAATTTCATATAAATGAAGAAAACAGATTTTATTATAATAAACATATTTAAATCTTGCACCATGTCATCTCCATAGTTCTAGCTGACGCGGCACAGCATCACGACCAGATATTTTGACCCGTCCCGACCGGGCAAGCAGTGCCCGTGGACAAAATCTGGGTAATTGGACAAACATACTTGAACTCTATCCCAGGCTGCAATTTACCAAGGTAGGGGAATGGGGATTTCTGGACAGGGACGTGGGGGGGGGGGCAGTAATAATTTACCCCCTCCCCATGGGATAAGCACTTTTATCCTAAACCCTTGTTTTCTCTTTTCATAATTGCATTGTAATTGAATGTAAATAATGTTGTTGTCCAGTAATCTGACAACAAAATATAAAAAGTTTAACTGAACAATTTTCCACATTTCCCCTCCCTTCCCCCTCCAAGCATATTGCCAATAAGCCAACTCTGTATTCAGGGCACATATTTCTATGTAAATTTTATTATGTCTGATGCTAAAATGTGTTTTGTAAACAATGATACTAGAAGAATAATTATTCTGCATCACTGATGGCTTTACGTACTTTTAGCACCTTCAAATCTGCTTTTAGAGCTTTCGTTAATTTACATAAGCAACAAGGTTTTTATAATGAAAGATTACTTGTAACCACCCCCCCCCCCCTTCCCTTCGACCTTTCCTCAATTACTCTATACATTACAAATTTTCTTTCAACTTCTTTAGTTCTACACAGCTAGGTTTCTGATGAGGTTAAAAATTGTAAAAATGAGCTGTAGCTTTAAACAGATACAAAACTGGGAAGAATGGTGATGTTGGGGGGGAGGGGGGGGATAGATTATTCTAGAAGATTACGAGGAAGAAGAAATGTGTTTTGAATAAGTAACATTTTTGAAGTTGACAGTAAAAAATGTTTTTCATTGAATCTATTGCACTTTGACTACCCCCCCCCCCGGCCCATTTCTTCTCAGATCAAGGACAAATTATATCAAGGTTGTGTGCATTGATGCACTTAGTACAATGCACGATGCATTAAAGAGGGCAATTTATACATTTTACATTTATTTTCTGATCCTGGTGATCCTTATTATCTAGACAGTTATAGAGCTAGAGATTTAGAGGAACATAATCACATTTGATTCTAATTTAAAGGCTGCGTCAAACAGGGCAGGCTAGGAGTTTAAGGCGGTATAAGTACAGTGGGACCTAAAAAACGTCATTTACGCAAGCTTATGACGTATTTGATGTTGTTCCCAAGCAAATAAAAAGTTAAATCTGGCCGTGTGGCGTGTCACTGCACAGCTGCAGGTCTATAATGTTCATTATATTGGAATATTCAAAATAATAACTTGAGTTCAACAGTCGTCTTTATATTCCACAGTTTTATGACTCACATTGTGAAAATACTCAACTGAGGAACCAGTACATTTCCCCGGTCATAACTGTAACGTGTACAATGTAATTGTACACGTTTCAGTATATTCCAATCAAAGAATTAAGAAAAAAGGTAAAATGTCATGCGGAATTACGTCTTTGCGATCTCAAGTTTTCATTTTACACCCAAGAGGGAGAAAAAAACATTTGCTTGGTTAACTTAACTTTAAAGATTTAAAAATACTTTATTCTTCAGAAAGAGGATTGTCTTTGAAATAAAATTTACTTGAGTTGTTCAGGTTCAGCCCATTTTTTAACTTATATTTTTGTTTGGCAGCATGTTTTCATGGCTAAAGTATAAAAACTGTCTCTTACTCTTTGTTTGATGGTTTTAAAATAGCATACCTAAACATAACTGAATTGAAAACACTGAAGGGAAACGGTTCAACAAAAGAAAGAGTAATTGAGGGAGTACAGTTTACATATTGTTTTTAATCCGACTTCTACTGTTTGAATGGAAAATATTAGGCAAACAAACAAATAATCAAATAAAACCTTATACAAACAATCATTTAAACCAAACAACCCCAATCTAACAAACAAACATATTTATGAAATATGATTTTCTCTGATGTTGTTTAAATATACCTTCAGTCTATGACGTTTCATGGGGATTCTACGGGTATAGGGAGAGGGGGGGGGTGGGGTGGAGGAAGGGGGTGGTTAGAATTTTAAACTATGAACACCCGCATTTTGTTTAAGACCAGATGATAAAAATAGTTTGATTTTGCATGTCACGCCGTTTTCAAATTATGTTTGCTAATAATCATTATGTACGCAGGGTTTACCCACAAAAAGTGAGACTGTAACGACGACTTGAAACTCTCAGGATATGACCA